GAGGGGAGGGGAGGGAATGGGAGGGGAGGGGAGGGGAGGGATCAGTTGGAAGGGCCCTACAAAGATTGCCACATTCAACTGCCTAATCACTTTGGGACTGAACCAAAAAAACAGTCCTGCCCTGCCCATGTGCCAAATCTATTCGTAGAAAAGGAGGTGTCATATCACTGTTGCTAAAGGAGAACAAACATGAAACTGGGAGACAGTGTATCTGATCTAACTCACTGTAAAGTCAATAGCTATAATCACATGGAGCTCTGCTAATGACTTCACGCTGCAAGCAGCTGGGGCCTGGATTTTCACATGTTGGCAGTGATGCACAGTGAAAACCTATTAAGAAAATCTTCCAGTTCAAGAAATGACGCACAAGTCTAACTCATTACTGATACTCCATTAGAGGTCTATCATGTGCTTTCTTGCTACCTGAGTATGAGCAGTCTGCAGCACATCCTTTGGTGCTTATTTCAATTGAGTTATTTAACTGGTATTTTAAAGACCAGTAAAGACAAAATGCCAGATTTATGACAAATCAACACTGTCCTTCCAGTCCAGATTTCCAACACAGCTTATTAGCTGTCAGCTCTGGTCAGGTTTCCAGGAAAACTCATTACCAATGTGCTGAAGACTTTTCACATCACATACTTTGGTACCTGAAAAAGTGATAAGCACTTTTGAAATTCTCCTCTCTTCTTTCAAAAAGCCAAATAGTCCAGACTGTCCCTCTTACCTTCCCAGTCTTTCCATGAGCAGAAGGAACAAATACATACTTGTTTTACCCTTTCTCTCTCTCAGCTCTTCCTGCAGATGCCATTGATTTGAAAGGAGTGTTAGAAATCAACCGTGGATGACTCTACCCTGAGCAAAGACTATGCATAAAGACAGAGTAAGGAAACAGAGAGGGGAGTGAAAGGAGTGTAACAAACTGTTCAAAACTCAGTTGAGCTGATTTGAAAACAGAAAGGGAAAATGCTATCTTTTAGCCTGGTATAAAGCATGAAGGATTATTTTATCTAGAAAAACAAAAATCATGGCTATTTAACATAATTTATTTATATTACACTCATGTGAAATGTTCAAAGACCCCCTTTGAGCTAGATGCTGCACAGAGTCACACAACCATGATACTACACAGGCACACAGAGGGCAGGTATGAGCTCCAGGAAGAAACATTATCGTCCAGTTTTACAGACAAGATTGCCTAGATTCAGGGGATGAAATAACTCAGCCCATATCACATCGAAGACTGCAACAGGACTCACGTGCCTGTCCAGTCTCTCTGCAACAGCAAAGGGGGTTCACAGATTCATGAAGCTCTTCCACATGCAAATAGAACTGAAAGGACTCAAACTATATCTCTCTCTGGGCGCTAGTTATTCCTCACAGTAAGTGCTGTTCTTCTGAGATCTTTTTCAGGATGATAACGAGGCAGAAAGGAGAAATCTCAGCAACATGTTTTTCACATGTAACTCCCTGATATATCTGGAGATACAGTTCACAATACATTCAATAATTTTAGTACCATCTAGTACTCAGTTGCTGAAGTCACAATTTTGCATTTAATCTAATCTTCATGGTAGCTGAAGACATGGTAGATCACTATTCATTCTGTAGAGAAGTAGCTCAACTACTACTCACTCCCAGGGCAGAATCTCACCTTAAGTGAGAAATTTCCATTCCTTATTCCCAGATCTGAGCCAACAGAGATGAAGGGATAAAAATATCACCTAATAACCTCTGGCCTGCTCCAACCTGCTCACAACAGGTTGGACTCACATTCACAAAAGGAATGAATGACTTTCTCTGTTTTGCCAGTGCTGTCACAAGGCAGAAACTGAGCAGAAACAAGTGAGTATCTCTTTCATACCCTACGGCCAAACAGCAAACACCTAGGCTCACAGTGACATTTGGTAACGCATTTGTGACGGTTCCTTAGGCTCATCAGCGTGACAATCGGGATTTGAGTGGTAGCTGAAATGATGCTCCATTTCACTGGGTAGCCTTCTTCAGCCATACCTTAATCATTATTGTGTCTTCTACTTAGGCTTCTCAAACTATAGCAGCATCATTTTAGCCATGCCAAGTTTTGACACTACAGCCTTGGAAAGGAGCAGTCACTGACAGCCTGCTCTCCCTTGGTAGCTATTTGGCTAGTCTGTGAGAGGAGATTCACCTACAGCAGTTTAAACACTGAGAAACATGACAGCAAAAGTGTTTGAATAGCTGTTGTCTCTACTTAGATAGCTGCTAGGATCAGGCTTTTATCCTCCTTGTTTTCTCAGTATACTTCAGCATTACTGAGGCATCTAGTTCACAGCTAATAAAACGTAAACCTTACCCTCAGCAAGGAGCACAAAGGCTCTTTAACTATGGATGGAGCAGGGATACATCAGGGATAAATCTGAGGTGGATTTGAAAAGCAAAACCACCCACCCTGACTTTACTTGCCAGTGTGCTGTTAAACCAGAAGAAAAGCTAAGTTGCTTACTTCTTGTGTTTCCGAATCCCTGAAACAACGAGGAAAACAATTCCAGCCACAATGAGAGAAAGAACAACACCAAATACAATAAGCCAGACAGGTGTGGAGGGCTCAACAGGAGGTGATAAGGTTGTGGATATCTTCAGGAACTGCAGTGTTTTGTCACTCAGCAGGAAGGCGCTGTTGATTCTGTTCCGGTTCATCCTTCATAGAAACACAAAAAAAGCATCACAACTCTTTAAAAAGATATTTTATAAATAAAAAAGATAGGAGGAAAAAAAAAATACTTTCATGTATGTGCTGAAAGTCTGGCAGAGTTGAATTTAATCTAACATGATGTTGGTAGATTGCACAAACCTTCACTTTAGCACAGATCTTGTCAGTAATCCATAGACGAGTGTCTAATAGACAAGGTGCTTGAAAACACATGCTTACAGGGTGTTGAACATCAGACTGGCACATGTATCTATCTGAAAAACTGGAAAACACTGATGCGATCTGAAGTAAACTAAACTAGTGGTTTCTGGTTTGGACTACATGCTGAAAACAATAATCTGTAATGGTGGCTGTGACAGCTTGTTCATACAGCATTCCACAATTGCATGGTATTGGTAGATCCACCATGCAATGCTCAGAAGATTTTACCAGTTCATTTAGTTCCTCAAACAGAACCATACTAAATGTTATGGGCACATATATCTGCTCTTCCTGCTGGAGATTTTCTTAGATCTGTGAGGCACTAATTATGCTTTAGTTCAGAAGAATCCATCCCCACTGCCAAAATGTCTTTCTCTATAGGATGTACCTAAACGGATTTTGCACATTTTTTTCCATTATGAGAAACTGTAAATTTGAGAAATACACTTTTTCAAATGAGTAGTACAACTTCTACCCTTGACTGGGTATCTTCAGTATCTTCACCCACATTCGCTACTTTGGAGCATTTGCACTAACTTCTAGGTCTGAATCTAAGCCTTGAAGGACTTTAGCAGTATCTTTCATTAGCTTTTGCGAAATGCTTCAAAGTTTTGATAAAATATATTACATATATTGGTCTTGAGAGATTTTGTTTGCAGCTATAAAATTCACCCTCTTTCTTGTATACAATTCAATCGATTTACTGCAGAACAAGTATTTCCTAAGAAATATTCCCTGTAAGATATAGGGGAAACAAAAGTACAATTCTTGCAAATTCCTTTCTTGGAAATCATAATGTTGGCTATCTTCTAAGCAGGAAGTTCTTACCCTTAATGGAAAGCTAGCACTCCTGGAGAGGGCTGAAAGCTATGGCATATTATAAGACTCATTATAAGGTAAGCTGCCTGTGATTTAAAGAGATTTTCATCCTTATTAATATAAATGATTCATTGTGAGCAGCTGAAGTAAGCATTATTAACCCTCATCTAATGGCTATAGTTACAGAATTATGCACTGAAACACATTCAGGTAACTACAGGTGCAGATGTGTTTGTATATTCATAAATATCTTGTGTATATTTATGCAAGATCTTGGGACTCGTACAGAGCTCTGAAAGGGTTGTTTTCTTTGTTCTTTGTTTCTGAAAGAAACTCATAAAACAAAATCCTGGTCTGTGGGTAGCATTCTTACATGATACTGTAGTATAAAGAATTAGAATAATGGTTTAGTATGGAAGCCTGCAATCAGAAGCAGTAGAATAAAAAAATGTAGCTTTATAGACTATTTTATTTCTTCTTTCTAAGTTAGATAGGATTTTTTGTTTGTTTGTTTTAAATAGCATCTTCTTCTTTATGGGATGAAAGACAACAGTTAGAAAAACAAACATGCTGTAACAGCATTCAATTTCTCCAGTAAACAGGGCATATAAAAGACTTAAATAAATCAGCTTATGCTTCTGAATGATTCAAAGAATAACAGAAATGCAAAAAAAAAAAAAACAAAAAACCCTTGCATTCCAACACTCTTAGAGAGCTTCAGTGAATAAATAATCTGCTTCCTCCACTAATGCTATGAAGCTATTGTTTGGTGTCTCTGTAGGAAACAGTTTAATCTACTCATAAGCTTAAAAGTTAATCTTTCCAATAGAACGCATACTCATTCATCAGGAATTAGGCATTACACCTCTATGGAGGTAACATGAATTTTTGAGACAAAGTACAGAATGTCTTAAAACAAAGAGGTCTGTTTTCTACTTGGTGCTCGAGAAAGATACATGAGTTATGCTGCTAGTGGGAATCATCCCCATAAACCCCTTTTGTAGCTCTGATAGACCATTGGAGTCAGATTACCTCTTTTTCCCTCTTCAGCTCTACACTTCTGTTTTTATTGGCTAGAGAATGCAATATTGAGTAGAAAGTGAACTGGTTTGTATCACGTGGTATTTTGTGCAAGCAATGCTCAGCTACTATAGAGACTGGCATTCCAAAAAGTGCTGCAGAAAGTATGACAGCAATGTGAGTATAAGACTATTTAAGCCAAGCTGGGACACAGCCAGTTCTTTTCATGAATAGCTCATGTGCCCTTCTCATGGAAACGTTTATTTCTACATTAAATCTGAAAACTTGCATTTGACAAGCACTAAAGTGAGCCTGTGGTCACTAACCTTGGTATAGAAGTTCACACGGCATGCAGTGAACATGAAATAACATCAATCTAACCCCCCAAAGCTGGAATTCTGTCATCTAGGGAAGAAGGCTCTCTCACTAGGAAGTGTAGCAACTGGATGACAGCAGTGTTTCTGTATATGACAAAAAAATTACAGCCCCAGCTCCAGGAAAGGGCTAGCTTTCACCTAAAGCTCCAGTGTTAAGAAGGACACTTTCTATAGTTAGAATGCCAAAGCTCACTTACATTGAATTCCATGGAACTGTTACAAATCATGCTAGCCATGCATGCCTGAAAGAGTACTAACCCCTTGGTGTTTTAACTACTTAGGTTAGATTTTCCCTACAGAGGCAGAGAGCTCATTCGTGGCCAGAGAAAAATCATCCTCAGTAAGCAGGGAAGGAGAGACTGCAGGATTAGCAACTGTACCTGATGGCTGCCTCTACCTCACTTCCAGGAACAGTTGTTGTGTTTTTGGAGGAATCTGTGACCACAAACCAAAACGACACCCGATCCGTCACATTGCAGAGCAGCACGTTGGAAATTCTGCAGATGGTTGCAACAGAAATTATTGAAATATTTAGTAGCTTTCTACGGATGGAAAAAAGATAACCATTCATGCCCAAGAAAGAAACATCATCCACAGCATTTCTCATTTCTCAATACAACTGAAAAAATTTAAGCTTATTGAGACCAAATGTGAGTCTTCAAATGATTCTGAATTTACTACAAACTTGCTGGTCTTGGACGTACATTTAGTGCAATGAAATGAAAAAAAAAAAAAAAAAAAAAAAAAAAAAAAAGTATCTTAATCATCTGAGCTGTGAAAAAGGCCATATTTGCCTACTGGGCAAATGCATTAATAAAATAAGATTTTTTATTTTGCAACTAAGGAGCTAGACATGGGTGATGTCCCATACAATTTTCAAGTGAGTGCTGTCCTTCTATAGGAAACACCTTTATAGAGGAGGAGAGGAAACCAGCCAGGAGGGAAGAACATAGAAACTGACATTATTCTCTCTGACATCCTTCTGCACTGTCAGGTGCAGAGTGGAGCCAACAGGCTAAATATAAACATCATACTGGCACTGGCCTGTGCCCTCTGGTTTGTGCTACGACATATTTATCTCGTATGTTTCAAAAGAAGATTACTTGGTTTTATGTGAAGTTGACAGCAAAAGGCCACAGGCATGGAGCTTCTCATGGCATACTGTATAAAAAGAGAGCGGAATATCTTTAAGGTGTGTTTCTTTGGAATCTTATAAACTTGTAATTTATCACTAATACTAGTGAAAGATGGAAATATAATTAGAAATATCTCCCAGAATGACATCATCATAAGTATTTAGACTAAATAATTGAATACTAGTACAGGTGTAATATAAATAAATAGTGACTAAGGATAGATGGTGCCCTTACGTTCTTCTGTCTATTCCAATTTTACTCACACAACAAACAAACCAGCCAAACACATGTGATATACAGCAGCTGCTGTAAAGACACTATTTACTACAGCATGGTAAGGAATATAATTTGCATAATAGAAAGATATCCAAAGTGTTATCAACTGAAAAACAGAGAGCTAGAGCAGTAACAATGGGAAAAAAAAATACAAAATCATTCAATATAATTAACAAATAACCCAAAGACTTTGGCTCAGGATTTAGATTTACTGGCTGTATCCAAGTAGTGAGCAGATATTCTAATAGCCCATGACTCAGGATGAAGACCACTTTTGTTTCCAGAGAGCAGCCCAAACTTTGTTCAACTTTGCCCACCATCTGCCTGGCCACAAACACAATAAAGTTGCCCTGTCTTGTATCTTCTAATTAACTACAGGAGTATTTGTAATGCCCATTAGCATCTTGGGTTTCAAGATTTGATTTGTCCATCACCAAAACGCAAGTTTTAACATTTCTTCTCCAGCTTCTGAGCCTTCCCAGGGTGACAAATTCCCTACTGCAAGCAGTGACCTGCCGCAGAGCTCTGTTGTGTAGTGCCATCTGCTGGCTAATTACAAACTTAATTAAATGACTGCTAACAGGACTTCAGTGATGTCCTGAAGAGCAGAAAGCACAAAGTAGGAAAGAATGTAAGACAGAAAATGTTACCCATAAATGCATAGTCTTCACTCAGAACAACGATAGCTGTTAAGGCAGGACAGGCATTGGCTTGTTCACAGTAGTTCACTCTTGATATTTTGTGGAAATACATTACCTATTACTACAAGGTTTTTTGGGTGGTGGTTCAGGTACCAGAGTATTTGGGAAGGGAAAACTTTCATTTACAGGAAAGGTATACATTCCACAGAGACATGCAATAAAATGGAAAGCAATGATTTTGCAGAGCTGAAATACCCACTTTTACCTCTCTGGAACATCAATTTTGCAAATACAGATAATTTTCCTAAATAAAAGAGCCATCCTCTGGGATTTTAAAAGATGTTCACATCAGTTCTTTGGCAACAGCCAGAAGATAAAAGTAGATTTATTCCTCTCAAAATAAAAGCAAAGCACAAAATTTACAGGAGGGGGAAAAAAGAGTCTACTTTTAGCTGGTGGCTGACAAACTCTTGCTGACTTCACAGAATATCTAAAATTGCATCTGCGGAGGAAGTTTTCCATCAGGAGAATTTATAACAGTAGGACCTAAATCTTCACACCGCTGCAGCTCTTAAAGCTGGAATTCCTGTGGTGCACTCAAAAACTGATCCAAGTAGAAAACAGGTGTGCGTATTCTTCTATAAGTGTTCTCAAAAAGTGGGGAGTAAACAGAGCTCATTCTCCCATCAGAAGGATGCATTTCGTATATAAGGAGTGGCAGAACATGCTGTAATTCTCTACAGCCTCAGAGACTCAAAGGGACTCTTAAGAATGAGGTCATCCCTACAGCACCCAGGCTTTCAGTATGACATAGAGCAGGCAGTCATCACTGGGACAGCGTGTCTGTCTCCAGAAGGAGCAGAACTGTCATGCCTAAAATCTTGCCTGATCAGCATCTAAAACCCAGCTTCACTGCCACTTTTCATCAGCAGAATCTGGATGCTGTAAATCCTTCCAGGCTCCAAAAAGAATAACACCATTCACAAGAAGTTCAAAGAGGATTGCATAAGCACCAAAATGGACTAGATCAACAAGCACCAATGGGATCACTCCTTTTCAGCAGGTATGCTTTTTTTTCCCATGCTATTTGAACATGGTTTTGATTCAAAGCTTGTTGAAGCGTTAGAAAACTGTGCCTTTACATTGTTTAGGTTTGAAAAACGTGACTTTATCATGCACTTTGCAAATTAAGTGTATTTGTAAGCATACATATGGACATCTGTTTACTTCTTTAGCTGATTATAGACTTTCACCACAGGTGTTTTAGGATATTTGTAGTATCAAAATGACAGGATCCTGGTCCCAGTATTCCCAGCCCAAAATCGATCTCCTTTCCTATATGCAAGTGAGCACCATTGAGGAGAGGGCAGGAAACCCTGAAGAATCCTTGGCTTGAAACAGCATCATTGATCCTTATGGAGATTTAGAAGATTACTTAGGGATAAGGAGAGCTGCCAGAGACTCAAAGAGCACTGGGGACATATGGCAGCCATTAGCTGATGGAAAAGCACAGGCCCTGAGACCCCGGTGTATACTTCTGGCTCTCCAGAAAATGCCAAGCCTCTTCCCACCTAGTGCTGCACGTTCTCTCAAATATGCCTGTTTTCTTCCTTGTTAGGACCTGCAGCCATGAAATCACCTTGACACAACAGCTTTATCTTTAGAAGTTTATTTCATTGTTCTAAGTGGTCAGAATATTTTTAAAGTATCAAAAATACCTATCTTAGGAGGACAGATAATGCTGATGAACTTCTGGTCACGCCATGATGAAAACTGCAGCTTTATTACTACAAAATGGAAGAAGATACACAAAAGCAAATCCTTTCATTTAAATGTGAGTGATCACATTCTTTCTACTCTAAAGATTAACGAGTCTCAGACCCAAAAGAGATGCATATTATTTCAAATGAGTCACAGATTAGAGAAAGAAGAGTTAACAACAGGCTGTAGACGATCATCTTTTAACACTGATAGATCAAAGGTTGGCTTAGATAATTCCTGAATGTATGTGCTGAGAGTGAATTAAAAGGTCATACAGAGAGCAAGAAATAAAGGATTTGTATTTCTCAACTGCAAAATAAACTTTTATTTTATCTGCATTAATAATTACTGAGTAATTCAATGGATTGTGTCTTTTTCCTGTTTCACACAACCTTGACAATTCATCAAACCTTTCAAACATTAAACACAGCTCCATGATTTATTAAAGTTTAGTTTAGAAATTAACTTTAGAGAAACTGAGATACAGTGTGTATGATACTTTTATATCTCATGAAGAAAATCTGCTGGTATTTACCTATACACGTGCCTGCAGCATAAACACAGTTCACTAGATTAAAAACTCCACCTAACCAGCAATGTAACAGAAAAACTTCTTAGTGACCAAAGATATAAGATTTCACTTGGTCTAAAGCATAGCAAGACTCTTTGAGACCAAGTTTGAGTAGAGTCTGGGATTTACCTGCCTTGTGACTACGAGGAGTACCTGCCTCTTCTCTAAGTTCCCACTCCTGCTTCTCTCTTCACCATCTTTCCAGGTCCTGCCACTGTCCATACCAGTTATGTGAGAGTGCTGCTCTAGTAAGCTCTGCAAGCTGCTATTCCCTCCTGGACGATGAGTGCCCCCCCACTGCCATTCCCACTGCAAAGGGGTTGGAGATGGACCACGCTCTTTTCTCTGTACCCGGATGCCTCTTGCCAGCCACAGTGCTAGGAAAGAGCAGTGTTATTTCCAGTAATGCATACTGTTCAGGGTATACTGGGAGGTCAACAAGCTTTCACAGAAGGGAGACTCTGAGGTCTCATGAGATCTGGGAGAGACCTATGGGTAGGAAAATCTTCAGACTGCTGCCTAATAAGTATTAGAAGATACCAGAGCTGCACAGCAGTACATTGGCTGTTTACATAAGACCCTAAAGGTATCTGAAAGTCCTAGAAAAGCTATCAGTTTTACCTTCAAGATAAATCCTGGCAAATTATACCCCATGAAGAAGTCCTGTACTGTGTTAGAAGCAGTAGTAAATGCCCTTACCTATCTTTTTGCAAATATTGCATTGAGTTCTCCTTTGAAAAACTTAGTAGCAGGAAAGTGTGGATGCATGCAAGCCGACCTCCAAACCAGAGTAAGATTGCTATTATCGTAGTTGTCCATAGGAAAATTTGTCTTGGGAGGAGTTAAATGAGAACAAATGTTGTGACTTCCCAGAACACATAAATGAAACATCCATTAAAATTTTAACTCCTATCATTTTGGCTTAACTTTTTCCTATTTCTACACCAAACTTTCTAAAATTAGTTGAGTCTGCAGACAGCTGCAGTTCTTGAAGAGGGTAAAGTTCAGTGGCATGTGACATAGGATTTTGCCATGTAAAAGCATCATGGCTTTGAAGGAGGAGGAACAGAATAACAATTTTAGAAGGAGGACCTGAGACTAAAATGGATATACAGAAGCAAACTTTTATGGATCAGAGACTGAACAAAAACTCTCCTGAAAACCTGGAAAAAAAAACCCACAAAAAACAGCCCTACATAATAACCTTTAGCTGGTATCTTGATCTCATTTTTGCAGGTGTGCAGTGGAAATATACTTGACTATTTTTGTTAATCTTGGTGTAATGGCTCCTTGCTCAAATGAGACACCTTCCAAGGAATACAAATAAAACAGCAAGGAACCAAACACTTCTGTGACATGGAGCGGGGAGATTCTTTCTATTTAAGAGAAAATGCAGCAACCACAATAATCATCATATGACTAAAGATAACTAATGTCTTTGCAAATATGCAATATGCTTTATCTGATGCATTGATGGCCTGAAGCAGTTTTTTCAGAGACTAAATTGAAAACCTTATCCTCATTAGCCTACCAGAGCTATAAATCTTTCCTTTTAGATTGAAAAACAATGAAAAAATAAAAAGCCTCTAGGAATACACTCATGAGGTTTCTTGTTTAAGAAAGGAAAGAACATACTGAAGAAACAGCGTGCTAAATGGTCTGCTGATCTGGCATCTAATTTTGTAAGTTGCAATGATCAGAAGCCTGAGAAGAATATTCAAAGCCTTAGGGTAGGTTTAATCCCAAACCAATTAACAGCTGATCTATGTCTGAACTGCAACATATGAAACATTCTGATGTTAGGTAACTCAGCCACTGTAATATTAGAGATGGATATCCCTTAGCAGAACTCAGCACCAGCGCAGCTATCCACCTTTCAGCACTCTGAGTCAGCTTATCCTCAGCACACTGCTGAAGATGAACACCAAGTAAAAAGTGCACCAAAGCTGCTTATTCAAGGATCTGTACCGCATTGCTCAGCCTTGCTGATGGACCCCTGCTCCTCCTCTCAGCGTGGTTACCAGAAGGTAATTGTGTCTTATGGACAGATTCTGATAGAGTAAATTAGCACAACCCCGCTGAGAGCAGTAGAGGGGATACTAGTCCAAAGACTGAATGCTGCTTAAGATAGAGAGTGCAAAATTTAACATATAACTGGATGTTGAAGAAATACACCGGCACATTTGGCTTTTAGAAGCTGTAAATAACAATTTCTACATCTCAGTACAGCAGAGGATGGTCTGCTATGTGCAGCATTAATAGCTGTAACGCAAGTCAGAGTAGATGCTTACTGAGTTGTGCTCTTGCTGGAGTATCTTCTCATTGCAAAAGCCATCATTGCCTTGAAGAGGTACTCTTCATTTGCATCCCAGGCATACTGTAAAGGAAGATGGAAAATCATCAGTTTCGGCTCCTGTGCTGGCAGGACAGAGGGGGAAAAGAGTCACTGAACTTGAAATTCCATATAGATCAAGAAAAGTAATAAATTCAATGACTGTGCTATGAAAATAAATTCCTAACTAGTTGCCTAGAAGTAACTTTTTTTAATGTTTGTTGTAAAGTGCAATACAAAATGAACTTTTCCAAAAAAATGAATGAATTGAATGTTTCTGTACACTGGCCAAACTGGAAATGTAAAGCTTCTTACATCAAAGACCAGGCTTTTTACCAGAATTCTCCCAAAATAACTGCACCCGTGGCTTTGCCTCTTCTGTGGATGAGCTGCATTGAAGAAGGTTTAAATCTACTCTCAAAGACCATTTAGTTCTGCCAGTAAACAAAAAAAGATAATGTTGAAGGCAGGCTCTGGGAAATGGATGTCAGGACACAAGGAAAAAAAACAAACAAACAGATTATGGCCCTATTGCTGCACGCTGTTCTTACAATATGAAGATAGACTCAACTATGAATTATGACATCAAATTTGAGACAAAAGATAGAAAAAAGCATCCTTTGTCCTTCAATAACAAGTAAAATGCAGGCTCCCAGAACTCTTCTGTGTTGTCTTGATGCCATCATTTCATGTTTCATGAGAAAGCTTCACTAGGTTCCCCTGGGCTTTCATTCCCATATTCAATTCTAATGACCAGCAAAAACTACACGTATTACATTTTTATAACAAGAGTCATGACCATGACACACTGATTGAATTTCTCCTTTTCAGCAGATTACAAAGATTAATAATTTGTTGGAATGATATTAGTGGAGGTTCGATGCAGTTTTCTTCAGTCAATCAGAACACAAATCTAATCTTTAACTTTCAGCATTAAAAAAAATCTGCACTGTAATCATCCAAACCAGAAATGCAATAATCTGGATACTTAACCCAGATGACAACTTGGGACTACTTTTTCATACTTTATAACACACTCAAAAAACAGGAGTAGACAAAGCAAACACAACTGAAAATGACAAATCTTAATTCTGCTCTTTAAATTCTGATTTTGGATGTATGGAACTGCTGCAGTTTCTCAGTAGAAACAAGGAGGGATCCAACTTCCAGACACCATCACACATCTTGCTTTGACATTCTGTAGACAGGGAACTGAATAGAGAAGGAGGCAGCCATTTAAAGGGCAAAAAGTCATGCTGATCATATTCATCATCCCTAAACAGATGAAGAAGGGAAGAAATAGGTAGAGATATGACCAGACAGGGACTACAGAGCTGAGCAATAGACTACTTAACTAGCATTAAAATCCATAGGCAGTTCTGGGAATCGTGGTTCTGACTCACCACTCCTGCCTTATGAAGGAAGAGAGGTAATTACACTGTGATGTGTGCCAGTCTAGGAGCTTAAACTGAAAGCAAAAGAGGGACAGTTTGAATAAAAATATTTAAAAGCTTGTATTTTGATCCCATGTCAGTAAAAAAAACATGACAGTAATGTCAGCAATAGTTTTAAAAGAAAAAGAGACAATGAAATAGAGGAAGAAAAAGAGCCATAAAACTATTTACCATAATTTTAAATGCATCTGTATTTAAATAGATGGATGATGAACAATGATGAAACACGCTCTCTTTCATGCTTGCATGGACATAAATGCAATACAACATTATCAAGTATATGTACTCAGTATGTTTATGTTTAGTGCACTACATGTATATATGGGAAATACATCACACATGCTCCCTGTGGTTGTCTTTGGCCCATTTGAATTAACTGCCTACTGTTAATGCAACCAGTGACTAGCAGCCACTGTAGAAGCTACTAGTAAATTTAATACTATCCTCAGAGAGACACAGTCCCATAAATCATCTTCCCTTTGTTTAAGTTTACTCCCAATGCACAGCAAGCAATGTCTCTGCCGTGTAGATCCATTACTAACAAGTAACATGAAAACAGCTAGATGCTTACTGTATCTTAGCTGCTATTTCCATTCCACTGTTCTGAGAACAATATTAATACACCAAAAATGGCACTCCCTGCCTAAAAGTACAGCCCATCTTGTGAACAAATGAAAAATGGTGTCTGTCTGTGTTTGCATCACGCCAAGTGCACACTATGCATTAAATCACTTGAAAAACTATACTAACCCATTTCCTATGCTCCTGAACCAGGGTAATCCTGCCAGTCCTACAGTGAAATGATCATGGATGGTATTAGGATCTTCTGCTATTATCTAGATCAAAGTGACTTGTAAAAGAATGAAACAGAATTAAACAGCAAAGCATCATACCAAGATATTCCAGGCTGATTCTCTCCTATTGTGATACTATGAGAGATTTACCTACCCTATTATTTGCTAAAAATAAAAACAAAATCAAAGTTTACCAAATTCTTAAACTGAAATGAATTTCAGTTTGACAACAGTTTCAGTTTTCAGTTTCAGTCATTTGCAAGGAAGACTGTGATGGCTCTGAAAAGGAACGATTAGCTGTGAAGTTAATAAATTCTTCATTATCTGCGGATAATTTTGTATGGCATCATAACTCCTTCAGCACGTTGTTCTAAAACATTGTTTAAGTTTTAGATTGTCTCATTCTTGGGTCTTACATACATTTTGTTAAATGAAATAAACTACTATCTATCTACCAAAAAACAATAAAAGGCTCCACAGTTATTGCTTTTTTTTTTTTCTTGTAATATAAAGTACTTTTAAGATTAATGATTTGTATCATACCCTTCTTGTGATGAAAAATAGAAAAATAGAAAAATTATAATGATCAAACAAATCTCCCTTCTTTTACTATGGTTGGAGAACTAAAAAACCACTAAAAATAGCACTGTTGGGAACAACCGTTTTTATTATTTCCTAAGGTTTTAAACCAAGATTTTAAAAAAATATTAGTAGTTATTATAAGAAGTTTCATTAATGATTTTGCCATATTTTCAGCCACAGGATTACACTATTTTTAATTTATTTTTAATAAATTTTTAAACAATGCAGGCTTGCACAGTTTTTTAATTAAAATCTCTCACCCAAGAGGATTGACTTCAATATCAATTTCCATAGACAAGTACTTTAGTATCTTGATTATTTCTTTTAAATTTATCTGGTTTATAAAGTTCCCAGTGGAATTAGTACCCTGCTAATGTTAGTTTGAATTATCTAATATTTCAAGCTGGTTTTTGAACGGCTTCTGAGGTCAGAGGGTGATTCTCACACTTCCAGTCTCTTCTAACACCTAATCTATGGCATTTTATTTTCCAGGACTACTAAAAATCAAACACTAGACTTCCAGTGCAGGTGACTGTCCAAGATATTTCATATCTAATTTTATGCAGAGCGCTGTAACACACTGCAGATTTGTGGCAAGCATTCAATACTGCAAATGAAATACTGTGTTCTTCTGCATCTCATAGCACTTTAGAACAGGAAGGACCATTTGGCCACCTAATTTCCCAAACTCCTGTGTATTACAGCTCCCTATTTTTCATCCCACCAGTTCTACATTAAGTGAAAGGACTCGAATTAAGACAAAGCGTTCAGTCCTCATGAGACTAACCTGTGCACCACAGGCAGAGAAGAAAGGGCACTATCTGAAACCTACATTAGCAGGGAATTGATCAGATATGCTTGAATGATCTCTACAGATCATGCTTGTCTGAGAGCCTGACATAAAATCCCATTTCATAAAGACCTAACAACCTTTTCTAGCTTATCTTCTCAGACATGCTTGACTTTACAACTAGCACTCTCAAGCAGAAGTGGTTTTCCCAAAATACAGACTTAGATTTACAGTGTCCCTCATGCACAAAGTGCAGCATCTCTACTGTTTTTCCAGGAGGGGAGAAAAAAAGGACTTTGACAGAAAATTATCTTCAAGAAAAGACAAGCTTTACACTTTATTAAAGAATGTCATCTTAAAGAGCGGGCTGGTCAAATGTCATGACTTGAGAAGCTATTACAATTAATACTTCAGAACAAATTGCTCGTGCTCGGCCTTCAGAAAATGTACAGTTCGTATTAGTTCTATTTTGACAGATATTTAGATAGGAACAATATGTGAAGATACTTTACTTACTGCATTATCTCCCAAAGCTGTTTTGATACTAAGCCGTACTTTGAAAGCATTCTGTGCATCTGACACAAAGAGAAAAAAGGTAAATGTACTGATATTCAGACGAGATAGGATTTTAAATCATTTACTTCTCTAATTATTTTACTAAGCACAGCTTTTAAAGTTGCCCTAGCAGATTAACTGGTTAGAAGAACTAGAAGCTAATAGCATGAAACATGCAGCAGCCCTGCAGATTTTCAGTCAGGTTTACCACGGCCCCATTAGAATAGGTAAGAACAACATCTGCACTTCATTTGCAAACTCAGAAAACTGAATGCTCAGAGTTTCCGTATTCAAACTGGAGGCAACCAGCTAGATTAAAAACATAAGAAGCTGATCGCTATGCAGGGATACACTCAGAGCTAAATTTCCCTCAGGAGGGGTGTGAATCAGCAGCTTGAAAACTCACCTGGCTTGCAGAGCTCAGCAGAAGCAACAGAAACTACAGAGAAAGCAAGCAGCAAAACTCCTAACATCCTTTCAGTATGGAAAAGTTGAGGCTAAAAGAAGTAAGTCTCCGGTGCAAAGCACTCTTAAACTTTCTGTGACCCAGGATTAAAGCATCAGCAGCACAAGTAAGCAACCAAGCAAAAGGTTTAATAATTAACCCCCGTTATTTTAGATAATCGGGCGCTAGAAACAAATGTCTTCTTTTCATTACTTCATTACTTACTGTAGTAAAAAAAAAAAAAAAAAAAAAAAGCTGTAATAGGTTTTTAATTCTCCCTTTTCGGAATAATGCAAAGCATTACACAGTGATATGTTCCTGTTTTCTCCCCAGGCACATGCACTTAAATGTCTGAGCCACCCAACACCAGATACAGCTCTGGTGGCTAGATAGCACACATAGCACACACTACCCATAGCACACATGGTTCAGTCGCTCCCGCACTGTACCAACAAAATCAGCTTCTGAGACATCACTTTGAGCTAACATCAATTATAAATACAGAGAATTGCTTTCTTCCTGTTGGAGAATCATGACAGTAACAACTGGAATGTGAGAATGCACAACAGAAGGACTACGTAGGGAAGCAGGTATGCATAGTTCATAAAGACATAGTCTAGTTTTTGTTTACACAATATGCTGTGTATACATATGCTCACATGTGTATGGCAATATATTAATGATGCATAATACACTTTCAACGAAACGTATTCAAAGACAAAGAAGGTCATGCAGAGGAGGAAGAATTCAGCAACTGAAATAAGTGAAACTCACAAATACTTGAACAGCCTTTGCCATCTGGGCAGCAAGTCAGGATTATTTTATTCCACTCTGCTGCTGCATGTCCTCCCTTGTAGCCATTCTGATTAATGGCTAGTTCCTAAATTGAAGATTTCTTTAAAATTACTTTCAGTCGGCCTTTTAGCACAGAGAAGTGTGTCTTGAGACTGCAAACCCAAAGACCTTCACAAGAATGACTACTGGTGGGAACATTTTATGTAACTGTGGGACTGAATTTATGGAAAACAATAATCAGTATTTACCACATAAGGTATTTGGACTTTCAGGTAATTGAGAATTTACTGTTTCACTAATTTAGTCTTATTTTTAGAAGTCACTGTTAAAGGAATTGATACCTCACTTTTAAAAGTCATTAAATCAAGCTGATTCCTGGATGGCTGTTTACTCACTCTAGACAACCAGCTCAGAGTACAAAACTATTGGATTTGTTATCTGCTTAGATGCGCAATCAATGTCTATGAAAACAAAAAAGTGACGTACTCATTTTTAATGATGGCTCAAATTAACATGCAACAAAAGGAGACCAGACCACTAAAAAACATACAGATGAAGGAAAGACTACCAGTTTTCTGTAGAATTTGTAAGCTAAAAAGACTGTGAGCATTATCAACCTCATGCTAAATTCATTGCTTCAATAAAGAGTGTTTGAACTCCATTGTACCTCTGGGGGACATATTGCAGTACATTGGAAAACGGGGGAAAAGCAAAGCATTGTTTTCCCACAAGCAAATGAAAATGATTGCAGTTGGAATGCGTTGTCATCCCTCCCCACTGGAAATCAGTCCTTATAAACACATGGAGCCAGTGTCAAAGTACACAGTGGGCACAAAGCGCTCAGCAGGAACAGCCTCGGAGCGTACAGCTGGATTCCCTGGCCATGGCTACTGATGTCCATCCAGGATGGTGGATTTCACTGATTTGTCACACTGGCACAGAGCTAGACTGATGATTTTCCTGGTGGCGAGGGGAGGGACCAGGGGAAGGAGGAATGTGATAAACACCTCAGTTCAGAGCTCATAGGGATAGTGTTCTGCAATTGCTATGTATGTGAGTAGCAACCTTGATGTGTGCCAAAGGCACCCAACTGGCTGCCCACTTTTTTAATATTGTCATAAAAAGCACTGTAACTTTTCAGATAGAGAATATATTAGCACAAAATAGAAGATGTACATTTTGCCACCTTGTTTTCACTAACAAACCTACATGCATGCATAACTTTTGGCCAAGCCTTTTTTTCATCCATTTTGGCTGGAAATGTAGCGCTACTTGAGAATGCCTGAATTTGCCACTGGTTGATCAGTAAGACGTCAATTTGCTTCAACAAACAACAATCTACATGCTTAAAGAGTATATCTTCAATTCAGAATTTTGACCTTCTTGATTTTGAATAGCTTCTCTTTTAAAATAACTTTGTTTTTCCCAACTACTGTTGAGCCACAGGTGACAGCCATGGAGATTCGCAGAATCATTAGTGCTCGAAAAGGCCACTAAGGCCATCTGGCCCAACCACCATGCCCACTAATCACGTACCTCAGTGCCACATCCACACAGTTCTTGAATACTTCCAGAGACAGTGACTCCACCAACTCCCTGGGCAGCCTGATCCAATACCTCACCACTCTAAGAAGAATTTTTTTCCTAATATCCAACCTCACCTGGTACAACATAAAGCAAATACCTATAGAATCCTATGCACAATCATCAATTTTAAAATATCATTGAATTACTGCAAAGAACTATTTCTCTTCTTGTACTCAACAAATTTGCCTGCTGAGTGAAAATAACAGTATATTTTTTTCAGTGCTTGTGACCTCCAGAAGTTCATCTATAGGCTGTATGTGTATATTTAACAGCATACCGTAATTCGAACTCCTAAACAAATTAAGAAAGGACTGAGACTTAAAGACCATCTCACTTGGTAAAACAAAACCCTTCCATCCTCTCAGTCCTATTAGAAATGTACTTTTCTGCTGCTTTCAATGTCTTCAAAATGGAAAAATCCCAGGAAAGTAAAATATTGATAGCCATCATATAAGTTAATTAACAGCTATGGCCAAACTTACCCTCAGTTTTCAAATTTGACAAATTAACAGTTTTAAACTCTGAGGAAGTTAATCTTTAGTCTTAAATAGTTGTGTTCAACTCTTATGAGGAAAGAGTCAATGTGCTACTGTCAGCATTAGTCACTCATGGAAATCTACCTAGAGAAATGTAGTTCTGGTTGTACAAGAGCTTTGCAGTTCCTCGAGTACAATGCTGTGCAATCTGCTGAAGATTTCAGAAGCTGGTGAGATAAGCATCTACAAGAATATCAGCAGCATCAAAAAGATCAGTGCTGGCTTTTATAGGTGCAGTCTAAGTCTTAAAATGGGAGTTTTTTGTTAACTTTGAGGGGAATTCGGAGTAGAATGGGGCCCATAATCACTGTAATATTGGAAAAGTAGTTTACAGTATTTTACAGTGTTTACAGAGTTTTTATCACTGCTCACAGAAGTAGATAATGTAGCCATTTGCTAGCAGGCGCAGGAAGGATTCGCTCTCTAGATTTTTCATATATTGCCTTCAAACAGGCACTTTGCAGTGAAAAGCACTGAGGATCACCCGCAGTAGGGCTAGCACTGGGAATAAGCAACTTCCAGTGCAGTGGGGAAGGATGGAAAGGCTGACAGATCTGGGAATGTTCAGCCTGGAGAAGACTGAAGGAGGGCCTTATCAGTGCTTATATATATCTGAAGGGAATGTGGTATTCAAATTGAGGTTGTATGAGAAATGTTTCTCTACTGCATGAAGTATAATCAGAGTATTTCATATCTACCTTCTCATGATGGAGTATATATATTTATATATATATATATACACAAAAATGATCAGAGGTGGAAGACCTTCCCTATGAGCCCAGGTTGAGAGAGCTGGGGCTGTGCAGCCTGGAAAAGAGAAGGCTCTGGGGGCAACTGAGAGCAGCCTTTCAGTGTCTAAGGGGGGACTAAGAAGGAAGGGGACAGACTCTTCAGCAGAATCTGTTGTGACAGAACAAGGGGCAATGGTTCCAAACTAAAAGAGGGGAGATTTAGATTGGGCATAAGGAAGTTTTTTACAATAAGGGTGGTGAGGCACAGGCACAGGTTGCCCAGAGAGGTGGTGGAAGCCCCGTCCCTGCAGACACTCAAGGTCAGGCTGGATGGGGCTCTGAGCACTCTGATGGAGCTGTAGGTGTCCCTGTTCACTGCAGGGGAGTTGGACAAGATGGCCTTTTAGTGTCCCTTCTAATTCAAAAGATTCTATGATCATATGGTGTAGGAATATTTTTCTTTGGGAAACATGGAAGAGTAAGTTCTGCGAACATTATTTTACACAAAAATATGTGAAGAGGTGTCTGTTCTACAACCCCAGTATAGGGGCTAACAATTACTGGCCAGAAATCTACATTATTTTGGATACATAAATGGATCTAGCCAACCTGGAATGGTAGTATTTGTATCTTTCTGACAAAAAAAAACTTTCACTGCACTGCATCAATAAAGTTGCATGGAACTCTGCACCTGCTTTTGAATAGCAAGCAGTTGCTACATCTGTAAATTCAGGAGGATAAACAAAATGGAGACAAAATGAAATTATTTTAAGCTTTTTTCCAGAATCATTATGAAGGTCTGTTATAGATTATGCTTTTTGCCTTGCCTTAAAAAGAGATTCTCCTTTTCACTGTTCAAACACAAAACGTTAAGACAGCTATTTCCCCAAGTATACTGGGAAAATGCCATAATGAAATGTATGGTATTACTGAAAGAAATGACTGAACATCTCAATATTGAGTTAGAGACAGTTTTAAGAAAAGTTGTTATAGTACTTACTCTACTAAAAGGATGAGGAAGAGTTGTAGTTGTAAGTCCTAAACAAAATATGATTTTTTGAAATAATTGTTTTTTCAAAACATTCATGGATATGTATGGTTCATCAGTTCTAAAATGCACAATACTGCCATCTTCTGTATCTAAAGCTGCAAATTATGTGTTGTTTTACATGTGGATTCTGCACAAGTAAACACTAAAGTAATAGCATTGTCAACTCCATTTTAAAAGGCAATCTACAACCAACATGGTGAAGTACCCACTAGAAAGGTCATCGTCTGAATATTCCTTGATCAATGGGTAAGCAGAGCTGCTGACTATAATAGTCACAATATCTTTGAGTTTCAGAATAAATAATAAGATACTCATTATGCTGTTAATGAAGAGCGCAATTAGTCTGCACTGGCAGGCTTCTCCATCAGCAGCTTGGATTGTCCATGCAATATACTACCTCTAGGATACACAAAGAAAGTTCCTGTACTGTGGTTTATGACAATAATTTAGGTATTAATCAACAATATACATTATTAATGGTTATGCAAAGCACGAACAAATAAAATCTATATTGTTGCCTCTGAATGCTGCAATCTGTCATGTTTGTCACCAAAAGCTGATTACAGATAACCTGAATGTTTTGGCAACGTGACTCTCTATGCATTATAATTGATATTTGGGTCCAGGAGCAGAGAGGATGCTGCAAAGCAGCTCACCAGTTACAAGAACCAGACTAGAGTGGAAGGGATTGCATGTGATGGACAGGGGAGGGTCAAGCTGGATATCAGGATAAGGTTCTTCACCAGAATATGGTTGGGCCCTGAAACAGGCTCCTCAAGGCAGTGGGCATAGCCCCAAGCCACCAGTGTTCCAGAAGCATCTGGACAATGCCCTCAGACACATGGCCTGATTTTTGGGTAGTCCTGCCTGGAGCCAGGAGTTGGACTCATCAATCCTCATGGAATATTCTCAGGATATTCTGCAATTGTGTAATTCTGTGATGTGTTTATACTCAAAATGGATAGAGTAGCTCAGCACTAATAGCAAGAAGGCGTCAGTGGTGTCAGTTACATTCAGCAGTACACTTGTCTGGTGTGTCCCAGCCTCACCGGACCTCTGACTTCACTCAATTCTTCAGGTTAATCGTACCATGGCAGGTTACCATCAGCCAAAGACGAGCTGAAAGCTCACCCGGCAGCAGGCATCGCACAACTGTATTTCACATCTATGTCTCAGTGTAACCAGGGCAAGGCACACATTATAACCCATAACCCAGGCAGTTACTGCAGCTGTAGGCTATCAGCACAACCTGACAGGCAGCCCAGCCGTGAAGCACAACACGTACTGCTTCACTCGCCAAGGCACAGTCAATGTCCTTTCCTCTTGAGCCCTTCTGTAAACCGAAATGCGAATCACTGCTTTTCAAGCCACTCTGCCGCACGCCCACAACGAGCTCCACCTCCGCCCACAACTGCCGCTAATGGGCACCTGGCGCACACCAATCGCAGCCGCTCGGGCACCGGAAGGGATTTTGCGCCCTTCCGCCGCGGGGTCACGTGACATCCCGTCGGTAACGCAAGATGGCGGCGCCCATGTTGCTGCCCGAGTCCCCTCTGGGGAAGCTGAGGTGAGGATGGGGTTGAGGCCCGCGCCGGGCCTCCCCATCGCATCTAGGAAGAAGGGAAGAGCCTTGGGATGCCTATGGAGGGCCGAGGCCCAATTCCAGAAGAGGTCGCCCGGCTGCGCGGTAGGCCGGGTCGAGGCCGCCTCGCGGCCGGGCCTGGGAGTGGCGCAGCTACGTGCCGCCATGGCCGCCCCGCCGCCTCCGCCGCCGCCGCGCGCTGGGGTGAACCGGCGGCGCTGTCCATGAGGGAAACGGGGGAGGGGGTGCCGCCGAGCAGGGGTGAGGCCGGAACGGGGAGTGTGGGATGACAGGTGATGTCTGGGTCGCTTTCTGTATCCCTCCCGCCCGCCCGTTCGCCGGGGAAGGGAGGCATCAGGCGGGGGACTCGGGTCCGGCAAGTACCTGAGCTGGATGTGTATTGGGGCGGCCTCGTCTGGCAGTGCCTCTTAGCCTGAGTGGCTTTTCTTGTCGCACTCGGTGGCGTGCTTGCAAACTTGGGTGCAGCTGTGCAGTAGCAGCGTTGAGAGTTGCTCTTTCCTGTAATCCTTGAGCATCAGCAGCTGCTGAGAAAGCCTGAGAGCAGGAGAGGTGCTCTTGTGTCAGTCTTAGGCATCTGTTTAAGTGGGGGAGAACTGTCCCTGGTGGTGGTCATTACAGAAGATAATGGGCTTTTGTGAGTCAAGGCAGAAGGCTGAGCATGTTGTGAGGCATCTGTCAGGCACTCAGCTTTCTGGGTAACTATCACAGCACTATGAGTGGCATGCAGTGTTGTTCAGGTGGTGAAGTTGCAAATAGCCATGAGCAGAAGGATGAGTTTTTGATTCTGAGTTACATATCTGGATTTTTTTAAAAAATTGCATGCTCTGAAATGGCAGGCTTCTGGTCTGCTGTTACTATTGGTCATGGCAGTGGGAAGAGTTGAAGATCATCCTTCCCGCTGCCAACTGACTAGAAAGAATGGAGCTAGAAAGAAAAGAGAACAGAGAAGGGGTGGTATGAGAAGATTTTTAGTTATGTGAAGTGATACTAAGTATAATGAGAACAAGGTGCTGCTTCCTGGTAGCCACACAGAGCTGTCAGGTAAACTGACACGCTAAGCATGAGTGTGGCCAAGATCCTGTAATGGAAAAGAGAGACTGAGAATTATATGGCCAGGCTGGATGGGGCTTTGAGCAACCTGGTCTAGAGGGAGCTGTCCCTGCCTGTAGCAAGGGGGTTGGAACTACATGATTTTGAAGGTCCCGTTCAACCCAAATCATTCTATGATTCTGTGATCTCTAGCAACTGTTGTGTGTGTTTGTAGTATCTATGCATTAAAACTGCTGGCTGTAAAGAATATGTAGGTAGAAGGGCAAAGATGTGGAATTTCATACCATGGATAGAGAACAAAAAACTAACTTTTGCTGGAAGGCATGCCAGAACTGCCGAGTAGGATATGCCTATTTTTTTTTTTTTTCTGCCAGATCTTACCTGGTGGCCAAAGTTCAGTATCTAGGGGAGCTTTCATGGAGCTGATGATGATGAGTGCTGCAGAGCTCAACAAGGAGAAGATCCTCTGTGTTGGGTCCAAGCATTGTCATTATTGCTGGCAACACGCAGCTCTAAAAGCGCAGTTGCAGATCTTATTGCCATGTCAGATATTCCTGTAGTGTTATGTTTCATATAAATACGTTTATTTTGCAATTGTGGGGCTTTATGCTGATGATGTAATTAAGTGCATATATGACACTAAAACTTCTTTGTTAGGCTGTGGTAGCATAAATAAATAATTTCTCATCTTCAGCCATCAGAAATATAGAGCCATTCTGAAGAAAGAAAAGCGGAAAAAAAAGCGGCAGGCACTTGCCAAACTGAGAGACTCAGGTAAGTGCAAAGGATTTTGTATTTCTTCTTGTGATTTTTTTTTTTTAACAAAGATATAAGTTTGCATGCATTTGGTGACTGTAACATCCACTTACTTGGATGCATTTTTTCTTTGTCTTTTCTCAGAAGCTACAGAAAAAGATGAATCGGTGTCTGAGGAGGAAGACGAGGAGCTTGAAGAAGAAGAAGATGAGGAAGAGGAAAAAAAACTTGAGGCAGAAAGGTAAAAAAGCTAGAAAGCAGCACATGTCAAATGCATGTTCATCCTTTGAAAAGTATTAATATATTCTGTGTTTAAAATAGAATCTTCCATCTATATTCCATGTTTCACAGGAGTTTTCTAGAGTGTGAATGATTGCCATAGAATTTTTTATTTTAAAGAATATTAAATAAACTGTAGATAATGCTGAGCTAACAAATTTAGTTATATGCACGATAACTGCATCTGCTATGGGTAATCATTAAAATTTGCCTGAGAGGTATATGGTTTCATTGGTAGACAAAAACTACACGAACAGTGGTTGCTGAGGGAAGAAAAGGCTCAAGAAGAGTTCAAGCTTAAGAAAGAAAAAGAAGAGGCTGCAAGAAAACGTCAAGAGGAAGAAGAGGTGATATATAAACTTAGTGTTATAGTTACATCTGGTAATAAGGAAGACTTAGTTAAACTTTGTTTAACATCTTCTGCTGTAGTGTACCAAGTTTTGTTGATGTTGATGTCTAAAAATGTAAGTTCTTTTCTTCATTTCATTCTAGAAGAGCAAAATTAAAAATACACTAAAATACTCATGTAATGGGTTTTTATTAAGAGATACGGTGTCTTATGACTGAGTGATAATGGTCAAGGAGTTAAAATACAGCATGATTGTTTTGAATTTGATTTTAGTGATTATAAAGTATTTATTTGTTTCGTTGAGTAACTTTTTTTTTTTTTTTTTTTTTAATCATAAAGAGAAAGATCAAAGAAGAATGGGAAGAGCAGCAAAGAAAAGAGAGAGAAGTGGCACAGCAGAAGCAACAGGAGAAGAGAGAAAGAGAGGTGATTCCTGGCAGTGGGAGGATAAACATACTACATATCCTCTTGCATTATCTGATGCACCAATCTCTGCATGTTGAAAAAGGATTTTATTCTATAAGTGCATGAATCTGTTAATTACTTCTCTTTGTTCTAAGTTGCTGAAATTATACTTCACTGTTGAAGAAGATGTAACTCCATTTACCCAGAAGGATAACTGATTCTAATGCATTTCTATGTGCTTTTTTACACCGGTTAAACACAGAGGCACACAATGAATGCAGTTTCTGGTATTTGTACTTTTTACATTTTACGGTAAAGATAGTCCTTATTTAATGTCCCAGTTGAACATGGTGGTGAAGAAAATTCCCAGTGAGGATATAGAGTTATATTTCTGCTGTTCCTTAACAGAGTTCTTAATCTAAAGATACATTACAGCTCTTCTTTACCTGACTCATCCAACAGGACGTATCTTTTTTTTTTCAGAGTACCTTAAATGGACAAAAAAGTTATGCTGAACATGCTAGTAATGTATAACATTTCTTTTAAGTATACATTCTTTTTAAGTGTTAGAAATTGAATAACCTGGTTGTAAGATGCCCTGAACACAAATAAAAAACGAGGACTGGCCTTTTGCCAGTAAAGGGCAATTGCAGCTGTGACATATCAGCTTCTCCACGTTAGGAAAAGATTCAAGTTCAGCACCACTGCTGGAAGGTGTCTTAATGCTGTGTCTTGTGACTACAGTTGGGGAATAGATATGAGCAAGTGGTATTGTCTCCTGCATTTAATAGTTGATTGCTTCACTGGTTACATAACATAGCCATGATGAAGGAAGAAGAACAGCAATTGTATTTCTTCTTCTTGTGTTACATGTCTTTTCCTTTCCTTGCAGAGTAGGGAGAGAAATGATGGTCTCATCCTTTATTGAAGATTGTGATACAGTTCTCTTAGTACTATGTCATGGTATCAGCAGGGTTTTGTGCCTTTCCTTTTCGTGTGGCTAAGTTTGCTCAGTCCTGTTGGTTTCCTGAACTAGCTGGAAACTGTTTTTTTCTTTCTTTTTTCTTTTTTTTTTTTTTACTAATTTGTTTTCTTTCTGGATTACTATTTTACATTAGCTATGTTGGCTCAAAGAGGGCGCTGACAATCGCCCACAGGGAAACTGTGTTCAGCATTGAGTGGAGCTACACATTTTGGCAGTGGAAAGTTAGTGCATTGATTTGGCCTCTCTCTTCAGACAGGATTTTATTCAAATTTTGACTTACTGACCGATAGAAAAGATGGCATTTTTTTTCATGCTGAATTACATTTTTTCCTAACTTTCTGTTCCTCTTTTTAAATTTATTATTTTATTATGCCTAATGAGCCTGCTTTGGCAGAAGGGTTGGACTAGATGATCTCTAGAGGTCCCTTCCAGCCCCTACAATTCTGTGATTCTGTGATGTTCCAAATTAGAATAACACCAGTGTATTTTTCTTATATTGGTTATGTCTCAATGTCTTTATATTTAAACTTCCTAGAATAATTTGTGAAGACTAATTTCTAGTTTGTCTTGGAACATGACTGTTTCTTTGCTTACCCCACTTAGAGGAAAAGGAAAGAATATTCTCATTGTTTTACTCTATTTAAAAGATTAGATACAGCAAAGCTTAACAGGTTTCTGAATTTAACGCTTAACAGTTACAGAGTTGAGTTTAACAAGGACTTACTAAACAACATGCTTTTCTGTGTTGCATAGAATATTCTAAGTCAAAAAACTTAGTGCAAATAAATGATTATGAATTCAACTGTAACTAAATTTAGTCCTAGATGAAAAGATGAATTTGAGTGTTCAGTAGTTCAGTTATAGTTTTGATAAAGAAAATGAAAATTTTGAAGCTGTCTAGTATTCTGATTAGAAAATCATCCACATAAAAGTTTAGTCTGATGTATCATTTAACGGCTTTGTAACATGTGAATTCCTACAAAGCAAAAATAAAACTTACAGTTTTCAAGCAAGCCCCATCAAACATTCACTGTGCATAATCGTGGGGTATTGTAAATTAGGTTCTTAACTAAAGAAACCAGATGTTTTGCGTGTCCATGGGATTTTCACTAGTCCTGTGTTTGCACCATTTATAGGCGGCTGTGCAGAAGATGCTGGATCAAGCTGAAAGCCAGGTATGTTCCATCTTTTTCAAAAAAGAACTGAAAAATAATTGAATTGCTATCTAGTGTTTGCCTCATAGCGTGTTGTCCATCTGCTGTCAAGAACCTAATGGCTGTAATAAATTTAATATGTAGTGGTTTGCATGAGCTGTAAACAATTCTTTACTGGATGGAACATAATTAAGTGTATTTCTGACTGGTTGATGGCAGTGCAGTTGTGCATGCTTATTCTTATTCAGGGGATGTGAGTCAAGAATGAATCTGGAAAAAACAGCAAGAGAAACTAGTAACAGTGTACTTGTGGATTAAATTTCTAAACAAAGCTGTCAGTCCTTTCAGCTGCGAGACAAACTTGGTTTTTGAGCAGATGGTCGACTCTAAATAAACCATTCAGCAGCATAGGAAAGCACAGATCCTGAAGAGAAAAAAACAGTCTGGGGAGAACCTGACTGCTGGGATTCCTGGAATAGCGTGCGTCTCACGCTGGCAGCTTGTAGTAAGGGAAATTAAGTCTTCATTTGAACCTTAGAGGGTATGAATTTGGTCTTTCCTATTTCCTTAGAAAATAACCTGACTTTTTATGCCTGTATACATGGATATACTATTCACTACTTTTGAATAGTCATATTCTGCTTAAAATTCTGCGTAAATCTGAAATTTAAGCTTTAACTTAGTGTTACCCATTGAGTGTGATTGCCACTAACTGCTTTGGAGTAGGATTCAGCTCTGAATTGCATTCAAATGGGTTTTTTAGGTTGGCAATCTGACTCTTTATTTTGGAATATGAACAGAAAAATGCTTTGAGCTGTTATCTGCCCAGCACTTCAGGTGTTAACATCCATTTCTGCAAGGGAATAGACAGAAATGTGTGTTAGACTCTTTGCATGGTATCAGTCAGTTCAGAGTTCTGCTACTTCCATGCAGTTGAAGTGATGATGCTGTTTTGTTGAGAAGAAATTACAGCTGAGAGTCATGAGTAGAACTGGTGGCAGGGTCAAATCTTGCTTGTATCTGAACAGTTTTCAGTTGATCTAAAATGACAATTTTTGGCTGGTTGGCTTCACGGATCTTTTGGCTAAGAAAATGAAAATTCATTTCTTAAAATGTGCTTTATTGATAGTCAGCTCATGCCTGTAAATTGATTATCCCAATCTGAATTTTAAAAATCTTAATTTGATCGCCTGAGATGAGCAGTATGGAGGCTTTTAGTTCCAGTACTGTGAATTTAATTGTTTTTAATTCTAGCCTATGACAGGTTACTTTTATATTAGCATTTCCTAACTGCATAAAAAGTGACAGTTATAAAATTACTGAGCTTTGAGCTGTTGCAAAGATTGGCAAGTAAGTAAGTCCTTTATTTTTATCTGCCAGATGTAAAAAGGGCTGCTCAGTGTATATTGGCATGAAGTAGCAAGCAGGCTTAGCTGAATGGAAAGAGCCTGTCAAAATATTCATTATTCTTGTGGATTGCAAGTGAAATTGTTGACCGAGGAGCAAATTATTACTACAATTCTTTGTGTTATAAAATCTTAAGACACTTTGATTAGCAGAAGAAAACATTTCATAATTTTGTTTCAATGCTTTTTTTTCACAGCTGGAGAATGGTGTGACCTGGCATAACCCAGAGCCCCCGGAGAACATAGGAACAGAGAAGGATAGAGCAAATTGCCCATTCTATATCAAAACAGGTTCCTGCCGATTTGGAGACAGGTAATCAATTGAATATTACCAGCACATAAATATTTTAGAGAGGTGAAGGGCAGGCAGCTTCATTAGCTTGTGCGCAAACTGAAAAAATCTTGATCTTGCTTTATAAAGGATGCCTTTTCTGTGAGGCAGTTGTCTCCAGGGTGAATACGTTCCATGCCAAAGCAAGGGACCTGTCAGGGAGCAGCTGGTGGGGCCATTAACCTTCCTCTGGTGGGGATGGGGCAGGAGCAGTGTGGTCACCCTCTGTAGATACAAAAGGGTGACTACCTTAAAAAGTACAACCAAAGATTAAAGTCATGACTGGTGCCACTAAAAAAAAAGCAAAGGAGAGGCATCTTCTTTGCTGAGGGGCACTGAGGCATCCATCCGCCACCTGGATGACCTCTCTAGAGGGGTTGGCTGGGAGCCACACCTGGGACATCAAGAAAAAGATAACAGATATGACAAAGTCAGATGACTGCTATGCTCTGCTGGTCTTTCAAGCTGGATTGCATGAGGCTGTGATCAGGAAGTTAAAAAATATCAAAGACTACTTTATATTCTCTTGGGAAGATGTTGAAGGGATCAGGAATGCAGGTAGTGTTCTCCTCAGTCCTGCTAGCTGGAGGCTGGGATCTGGGAGAAGGAGGAGAACAGATCAGTTGAATGACTGGCTGCGTGGATGGCGTCGCTTCGAAGGCTGTGGGTTCCATGACCTTGGATGGACCTTTGACAAACACAAATGTTGACATGGGACAGGACACAGCTGACCAGGAGGGACAAGAATATACTTGGTAACAATCTGGCTGCACTCATCACCGAGACTTTAAACTAGAGCTCAAATTTGTCCCAGGTGTTTGTGGGAGGGCTCCTCTAGAAAGTTAATGTGTTCGAAAGCCCAGCTGAAGTGCCTCTATATCAGTGCTTGCAGGATGAGAAATAAGCAGCAGGAGTTGGAAAACAGGTGCAATTTGAAAACTATGATCTTATTGCTATCACAGAAACGTGGTGGGATGGCTCACGTAATTGGAATACTATGATTGAGGGCTGCGAGCTTTTTAGAAGGGATAGGTAAGGCAGGAGGGGTGGAGGAGTTGCTGTGTATATTTAAAAAGTGGATAGACTGCAAGGAACTATCTTCTGAGTAACAGAGGACAGGTTAAGAGCCTGCGGGTTAAGTTTAGAGATGGGACTAATAAAGGACAGTTGGAGGTCAGGGTCTACTATAGGCCACCTGATCTAGAGGAGCCTGCTGAGGAGGCCTTCTTGCTTCAGCTGAAAGAAGTGTCACACTCACAGACTCTCATCCTGATAGGGGATTTCAATCATCCGGATATCTGCTGGGAAAATAACACGGTGAGATGCAAGTGATCTGGGAGACTCCTGCAGTCCATCAACGATAACTTTACGGTTCATTTATTGGAAAGACTGACCAGGGGTGAAGTGTTGCTGGACCTCGTGCTCACTAATATGGAGATTGTTAAAGACATTAAGATTGGAGGCAGCCTGGGCTGCATTGGCCATGCCCTGGTTGAGTTCATGATTTCGAGGAACGTGGATCTGGCAAAGAGTGGAGTCAGGAGCCTGAATTTGAAGAGTGCGAACTTCAGGCTATTCAAGGAATTTTAGGATGAGATCCCCCAGAAAACTGGGGGAGTGGAGCAAAGCTGCCTACTTCTTAAGGATGCCTTTGTGAGAGTGCAAGAGCTCTCTGTTCCCAAGTACAGGAAATCAGGCAGAGGAAGCAAGAAACAACCGTGGCTCAACAAGGACGTGGTGGTCAAACTGAGGGGAAAGAAGGGCAAGTACAGACAATAGAAACAAGGATGTGTCACCTGGGAAGAATACAGGGATGCTATCCAGACGTGCAGAGATAGGATTAGGAAAGCCAAGGCACAGATGGAACTGAATATGGCAAGCAGTATTTAAAGCAAGAAGGAATTTCATAGGTGCATTGATCAGAAGAAATAGGCCAGAGAGTATTCCTCTGATAAATAAGAAAGGAGAATTGGCTACAGCAGATATGGAGAGGAATAAGGTACTCACTGAGTTGTTTGTTTCGGTTTTCACTGGCAACAAGGATTCTCATATTTCTTGCATCCCTGAATCTTACATCCAGGCACCTCTTGGTGGGAACTAGGGGAGCAAACTGCCTTGCCCCCCTTCCCTCCATTCTCACCTCATGAGACTGAACGTGTACAAGTGTATGGAACTGGATGACATGTATCCCATAGTCCAAAGGGTGCTGGCTGATGTGGTTGCTGAGCTGCTCTCCATCATATCTGAAAAGTCATGGCTGTCAGTCAAAGTCCCCAGTGACTGGAAAAAGGGAAACATCACTCCCATTTATAAGAAGAGGAGGAAGGAGGACCTAGGGAACTACAGCCTGTTGAGTTTCACCTCTGTGCCTGGGAAGATCATGGAACAGATCCTCCTGAAAGACATGTTAAGGCACATGAGGGATGAGCAGGTGATTCAAGATGGAAAGCATGGCTTCACCAAGTTGTGCCTGACCAATCTGGTGGCCTTCTATGATGGATTAATGGCATTGGTGGAGAAAGGGAAGGTAACTGATGTCATCTACCTGGACTTGTGCAAGACCTTTGACATGGTCCTCTATCATGTCCTTATATCTAAATTTTAGATATATGGATTCAAAAAGTGGACTATTTGGTGGATAAGGAATTGGTTGAAAGGTCGCAGACAGGGTTGTGGTCAAGGGCTCTATGTCCAGGTGGAGGTCGGTGATGAATGGTGTCCCTCAGGCATCTGTCTTGGGACTGGTACTCTTTAACATTTTCATCAATAACATAAATGATGGGATCAACAGCACCCTCAGCAAGATTGCTGATTACATCAAGCTGAGCAGTACAGTTGATGCAGCAGGAGGAAGAGATGCCATCCAGAAGGACTTTGATACACTTGCAAGGTGGGCCCATGTGAACCTAATGAGGTTCAACAAAGTGAAGTGCAAGGTTTTGCACCTGGATCAAGGCAATCCCAGGTATGTATACAGACTGGGGGAAGAACTTGAAAGTAGTCCTGTGGAGAAGGACGTAGCAGTCTGGTAGATGCAAAATTTAATACGAACCAGTAGGGTGCACTTGCAGACCAGAAGGCTCCAGGGCTGTATCAGAAGAGGGGTGGCCAGCAGGGAGAGGAAGGTGATTGTTCCCCTCTGCTCTGACCTTTTGAGTCCCTTTCTGGAGTACTGTGTCCAAGTCTGGGACCCCCATCACATAAAAGATGTGGAGCTTTTGGAGATGGTCCAGAGGAGGGCCATGAAGATGACCGACTGAAGGAGCTGAACTTATTTGGTCTGGAGAAAAGAAGGCTGCGGGAAGACCTCATTATGGCCTTCTAGTATTTAAGGACAGATTATAAACAGGAAGGAAATAAACTTTTTACACAGGTAGATAGTGATAGGACAAGGAGGAATGATTTTAAACTGAAGAAGATTTACGTTAGATCTCAGGGGGAAGTTTTATGAGAGGGTGGTGAGGTGGTGGAATATGTTGCCCAGAGAGGTTGTGGTTGCCTCATCCCTGGAGGTGTTCAAGGCCAGGTTGGTTGGGACCCTGGGCAGCTTGATCTACTACTTGATCTAGCAGTTGGGAACTCACTGTGGCAAGGGGGTTGGAACTTGATGATCCTTGAGGTCTCTTCCAACCCAAGTCATTTTATGATTTTATGATAAATTACTTCTATTTATTTGGATGGGTTTCTGTTATTCATGATGGTACTAGACAGAACTGTTGCCTGGCTGGAATTGATGCACTAACTGTTACAGAACATTACTGATGATACATTCTGGTTCTGTTGGTTAAAGTGACTTCTACCTTAGCTCTGGCAGATGCACAAATATATTTGGGCAGAATACATTTGATTTCTTCTTTTAGTGCAGGTCTGGCTTGTCGGATGTTGTTTTTCATCTTGATTAGTTTACATATGCTGCATCTTTGAAAAATAAAATAAAAATTCTCTTCCAGAATTCTCTTCTTTGTGTACTGTTAAGTCCATGCTAATTTCATTCTTGATTCCTGTATATTTCTGTGGGTGCTTTGTATTGGAAATGTGGTAAAAGGCAAGGACAGAGAAGGACGACAAAATTATCAGAAATGAAGCAGCTTTGGTAGGAGGAATGGCTAGCCTAGGCGCTTCACTTTCAAAGAGATGATGGAAGAAGGCTATAGTAAATGGACATTTTGGTTGAACATGAGCTAGGAGGGTTGCTGGTTTCAAGACCTGGTCTCTTCCCCTAGTTTGTCTGTTGCTTTGCCGCTGCTAGATATGAGAGTAGACTAATCTTGACAGTCATTCTGATCATGTCATGAAAAGGAGAAGTGTGTTCTTCTAGTCTGTGAAGTGTCTGAAACAGCAATCGTAAAGCACACTGAAGTAACATGGAGGCTACCATCCATGATCTCAGTGAATCAAAAGGTTTGTGGGAAAGAACTGCATTTCAGCATGTGAGGAAGGCAGCCTGAAGATGATGCACAGTAAGGGAGATCCAGTACTTATGTGGCTGCCAAGATGCAGATTTAAGACAGAGCTAATTATAATAAGTTTTCTAAGTGGAAAAAGTCAGTCTCATCCAACTATGAGTCTAGACATACTTTTGTTTCATCACCCCTCTCTCAACAATCTCCTCTTCCCTGTTTGTTGAGAACACCACCAGTAAAAGTCCTTCTTCCTAAAGATCTGTTTTAATACTTGAAATATGTTGATCTTCTACTAGTGAATTTTTTTTGTAGTAGTAGCTTTTTCAAAATGGTGAGTGTTCGAAGTTTCAAGTGCTTCTTCTGCAGAAAGTGCAAATATTTTTTCTTCCTTCTCTACAATTTTCCAGGTGTTCCCGCAAGCATAACTATCCAACATCCAGTAAGACGCTGCTTGTCCGAGGGATGTTCATTACTTTTGGCATGGAGCAGTGTCGAAGGGATGACTACGACACCGATGCAAGTCTCGAGTACAGTGACGAGGAGACCTACCAGCAGTTCCTAGAGTTCTACGAGGACGTGCTCCCTGAGTTTCAGAATGTGGGGAAGGTTGTTCAATTCAAGGTATGCATATGAGTCTAACAGCTTGTGAATTCTGAACATACAACATGTCAGTTGTGTTTTACTAGCCTTTAGAGAATTCTGTGCAGTATAGTCTAGGTAAACCCCATGTACTTCAGAGATCTATATGATGTCTACTCCAACTGTGCATCTCTCGTGACACCTGTAAACTTGTCAGTGCTTCTGCAGAGCATTCTGGGTGAATCTTTTCTCCCATTCTCTTGAGTTGTTACAAAAGCTTGTGCTTTTTTACTGCCAGATATTTATACAAAGCAAGAGTCCGTGTTACTCTCAGTGCCTCTCTACTTAGTGTGTGATAATCCCAGAGGGCTCATGGATTAAGACTGTTACACGATGTAAAGATGTATGGGCTGCTATTGCCACTTACTGTCACTGTGCCACTTAGAACTGTGCCAAAGGAATGATGATAATGTATTTGGAGTATACACCCAAGCAGTGTCATTGTAGATTGTCAACAGTTGTCATTGTTGCAATAAAATAAACTCAACAATGAACTGAAAAGGTAGTATGTACTTCAGCAGCAGGAATTAATTTTAACTGGCCATCTTGTAAAGATGCTATTTAAATGGTGTTGAGGTTTGTCATCTACTCTTAATTTCTGCATCTGGTTTCCTGATATATATACACACACATATATATATATATATATATATTTCTTTTCCTTATAAAGATTATAATTTCTAGTGAGGAAAAATGAGGAACCTGTAAATATAGACCTCGAGATGAATGATGCCTTGTTATACTAAAATGTACAGCTTGGATGGTGGAATCTCCTTTTAATAGAACTTGTGGAAGCATCCCTTTCTGCTTCCCATTGCCAAGTGATTTTCTGTAGTGACCAGGAGGCATGAAGTACCTTTTCTCTTTTTGTTTCCTTGTATTGACAACTGCCTCAGGACAGAGACTATACTAGCATCTCAAGCATGAGGAAAGTTAAATAAAATCAGTGAATTCTCAGTGACCTTTGTAAGAAAGAAACCTTCACTTATTTGGATGAGAATCCCCACACACACTCTCATACCTTGACTCAAGGGATATTAGCAAGGAGTGCTCCCTTCTAGAAGATGGAATGCAGATTCTCAATGGAGAATGCTTTGAAACAGTCTTACCATCAAACTCACATCCTTAAGGTAACATCTTGGTTGTGTTACATGCAGCTATCTGCTAAGTTGCATGTACTTGGGTCCCTGTGGCTAATAGTGAGTTAATAGCTTCTACTCTAGGGTTTCTTAGCTTTTGAAGCAATTGTGCAACTCTGATTTGATTTTTCAGGTGTTCTTGTTTTATTAGAGATGCTTAGGAATTAGGTGTTAACTGCTAGGATCTTAACTGTGATTTAGTTGAGTCTCTGCTACCATTTAGACTCATGTTACGCACATCCCTCTTTCAACTGACTTCCATTTCCAACATGGCCTAAGGTTTTATTCTTACTGTTCTTTCTGGGAAACTAGTCCAGAATCTGGCAGGTCTTGACAAGGCACGCTTCTTCTCTTTTCCCACCCAAACGTGCCTGTTGTGATGTCATTCTTACTTGTTCTTGCACTGACCTTGTTATTTATCTTGAATAAGATGACTGTTTATGCTGTAATATTTAACTATATAGCTGCTTGCTGTTGTCTCTGAAGCTCTTGCCTAATCCAGCACACACAGGCATTATTCCTTCAGGGTCAGTCAGGCACAGTGATGGAAGAAGCTGCTTGTCTCACTTGGAGCAGATACTAGAAGAGGCCTGGAGGCAAAAGAGGCTGGTCCTTGAGGCCTGGCAAACTGGATTCTTGCCTGATTGGGGCCACTTGTCCCAGAATCCTGAGAGACCAGTAACAGGCTTTGGGGAGGTCAAATTGCATATTTTTGAATGCTAAATTATTATGAAAAATTGTGTTTCAGAAATGTGAAAGTGAGTGATTTCAATTTTTATAACTCATCTCACTCTCAGAAAGGTTGTGAAGGTAGACTGATCTAAAGATTCTTTTACCCCACGTTTCCTTACAGAGGTACTACTGGTTATTTTCAGAGCAGTATTTGGCTGTTGCGGAGTAGCACTGACCCAGACTTCAGTGCAAGACAACTGAGTACAAGCTGCCTTGTAGACTGGAACAGAGGTCACAGTGTCAATCAGAGCAAAATGCTGGAAACATGCAAAAATAAAGCAGAAGACCTTTTTGTTTTCTAAACCTTGTATTTGACTAAAACTGTGTTCAGAAGAAAATAATGTGCAAGTTTACACTGATGTGCTGTCATAAATCAGAATGGCTGCCAATTCAACATGTGTGAGTTGCTGTATAGCATGAGGCTTCCACTGCCCTAATGTAATGTTTCAATCTCTTTAGGTCAGCTGCAACTATGAGCCTCACCTACGAGGGAACGTGTACGTCCAGTATCAGACGTGAGTATTCAGTCTTACCAAGCTGCAGAACTGCAAAATCCAGTAATGAAAATGGTGTAATCCAAATGATTTGTTCTCATACTGTAATGACATCCTAAAACTGGGAAATAACATCCGAAACGATCGTACAACGACAATACTGCATGTTTGGCTATGTTGGGTATTTTTTTTCCTTTTTACAGGGAAAAGGACTGTCAGGCAGCTCTTGCTCTGTTCAGTGGCCGATGGTACGCAGGCCGGCAGCTTCATTGTGAATTTTGTCCTGTGACAAGATGGAAGACTGCTATTTGTGGTGAGTTGCATAAACACTCAGGAAATAGAATGTGTGTTACTCAAAGAGTTTGTTTAGAAGTGAAAAAGAGGAAGTTAAGTGATTGCTTTCTCTCAGTGCTCCAATTCACATTCATTTCTGTTTCAAAGACAAATGTGCCTATTTGCTTCTGTAGATTTAGGAAGGAAAGGGAATATCTCTGCCATATGATATATGCATTCATATCATCCTAGTAGCTCTGCCATGGACTGGAAAATTTGGATCCCAGCTTTCAAAATAACGATGATTATAAGGTGGAAGTGCAGAAAATAGCAATTTATCTCTTTCAAAAACAACAATAGTGTCTCAACCATCAACAGTTCTTAGCAGTTATTATTTCACTTGACTTCTCTACACATACGTTCTTTGAAAGTTTAGGCTAATAAAAGTATTTATAAAATTGTTTTATGCTAAAGAATAGCCATCTTAAACATATGTTAAAAAGTTAATTCCAAGAAAAGTACATATAAAAGTAATCTTGGGTAAAATAGGTGTTCATGTACATGTTTTTCTGTTCAAAGAAGCAGAATTCAGTTCAGTAACTTTCTTTCCAGTAACTGAATAATGCAGTTTTAACAGGTCTGGTTCATAAAAAGCAACCCTAATCTGTTGCAGGCTTATTTGAAAGGCAGAAGTGTCCAAGAGGGAAACACTGCAACTTTCTTCATGTGTTCAAAAATCCAAACAATGAGTTCTGGGAGGCCAATAGAGACATACGCGTTTCTCCAGAACGGACTAATCAGTTGTCTAAAAACTCTGAAAGGAGAAACAGATCGAGCCATCGTGATGACTATTACAGCCGGTCAAGGAGAAGGGGCAGCCCAAGCCCAGATCATTCTTACAGGAGAAATGGGGAATCTGAAAGAAAAAAGAATCGCCGCAAAAACAAGAGAAGGCGCCGATCTGGCAGGTCGAGAAGTCGAGAAAGGAGGAGGTCGCGCAGCAGAGGGAGAAAGAGGAGGGGACGCAGTCGCAGCAGAAGTTACAGTCGAACACGTAGTCGGAGCAGAAGTCGGAGTTCCTCTCGATCCAGGAGTAGGGGCAAAAAGAGGTCAAGCAGCAGAGGAAGAAACAGTGAAACTCCCAAAACGAAGTGAGAAATAATTTCAGAAATTGCTAATTGATCAAATGTAGAGCTGACAAAGAAACCTTTCCAATAGGGCAGCAGATACATTTGAGTCACAAATAAAGTGTTCTTGCACATTAAAATGTTTCTTCCTAATAAAGGACCCTAGTTTACTGTGTGCTAAGCTTCAGAAAATTAAAAGTCCTATATAAGGTGTAAATGTCAAGTACTCTAGCTACTCTGTCCCTCTGAACTACTGCAACATTTGGATGCATACTGAGTACAAAATAGAAAGAAGTAAAGCTTTTTTGGTATATGCTTATGCCTGTGTTATGTGTGTGTTAAGTGTTTACTGTCCCTGTAAGGAGTTAGTACAGAACAGCTAGTGTGCTGTAAATTCGCACAACAGCATACTGCAAATTGAAGTCTGTGTAAAAGAGAGCCATTTATGTTTACTGAATGTTTATCGGAATTTCCTTTCTAGACAAAGTAATATAATCAGCTTATGCTTGGAGAAAAGGGATCTAAAAAGACTTCACAGTTTGATTGTACAATAGTTGCCCAGTAGGAGCTTTGTGGTCGTAAGTGTTGGATTTTTCTCTCCTGTGACTGAGCTGCTGAGCTAATTGCCTGTAAGGATTGCAGTAGACTAAAACCAAGTAGGAATTACACCAAAAAAAAAAAACAATCAACTTATTCAGTACCCTAATCTCCAAGTAAGAGGGGAGACCGTGCACTTGTAATTCTGGAGCAAAGACAGAAAATAGTTTGCATACCTCTTAGTTGCATGCCATTTGTAGTTGAAAACCTCCTGCCTAACCTATGGTGGAGTGGTAGGAAAGGTGTAAATCTGGTCACCAAACATGCAGATGTAGTTGTAAAGGCTCGAGATGACTGCAGAGATGTTGCAGAGTGGCTAAAGAAACTGAGAAGGTTTATACCTGAAATAATACTTCAGGGTTTGTTGGGTTTTTTTGTGTGTTTTTTTTTTCCTGAGATGAGGACTTGATTTGAAGCCCTTTTTAGGCTTGTATTACAAGCAGTTTAAGGCACCCTACTGCCTAGCTCCCCTACAGCCATGGCAGAGAGTAGGGTACATAAAAATGAAGTTACCAGGATAAAGCTTTCTTGAAATGACAGCCGTGTTAGCAAAGTACTTGCAATTAGCAAAGTCCTTCTAAATACTTCTCTTTTAAATGAAAGATTTGTGCTGTTAAATGGACACCCAGCTTAACTTTAGGTATTTAGCTTAGGCTCTTATGGCATTGTGTGTACACGGAGAGAGCAGCTCATGGTACATAAGATGCAGGTGCCCTGATCTGTGTGCAGAGATATTTCTCTCTCTTCAGCCTCTCCAGAGAGTTTGGGACTCCTGCCTTCAGGGGGCAGCTCTAAATTGATAGAAGCCTAAAGCAGACATGAAATGCTCCCAGATAGATATTTGTTATCATTCAACAATACAGTGTAGAGTCCCATCAAAAATCTGGACATCCAAACTCACTATAGCATTCCTCACAGCATTTTTTTTTTTTCCCCAGGATAGTTAAGAGTGGATGAACATTTCTTCTGGTTATTATATATATATATATATGTTAAAAATTATTTTTTTTTTCTTTTCTGAACGCATATTGCACCTAGCATGCTGATGATCCTTTTTTCTTCTTTCATGTATAACTCTTGTCCACTATGGAGTAATTCAACAGAAGTGCTATATATTGTTGTTCAGTTCAAATCCAACTTTTTCACTATATGTTGTCATAACTGTAGACAGAACGGTAGCTTAGTTAATTTGATTAGATGTTTTAGTTATTAACAGATGTAGGAATTGTAATTTAATGGCATAACTTTTGAAGTAATGATAACTTCACCTGAAAGGCATATTTCAGTGGATAACACTAAGTTTTAGATTATATTGGGGAAATTTGAGACAACAGGTTTCTCACAATGTATTTTTTCTGACTACACTGTACATTTTCCCCAGGGTTTCTATTTTTTCATGGATGCTCACTTGTCTAGTTGGGGTATGTATGCAGAAAGTGGCAAACTCACACAGCTGAGTGGCATTTCCTGCTTGCTGAGACTCATCACTAGCAGGCCAGTATGATCCTCACATCACTGGTGCTGCCTTGCTTCCCACAACTGGAATTCTGCTGAACCAGCCTGCTGGTTGAGGCTCTTGAATAGAAAAGATTTACTCTTATCTGTAGTGTGTTGTATAGCCTGTGCCATGCGGCAGGCTGTTGCTGAGGGTTATCTGAGGGAAATAAATTACCAAGCTCAACCAGAAGTGAGGCAGGTGTGGTGGGATGCTGATTTTGTGAAATCTGTGACAAGCCAGGTGAAATAAGTGAAGTGGACCTCTGTAGGATTAGAAACCATGCACCAACTAAGACCCACGTGAGAATTCCACAGGTAATAAGGCTCGCTGTCCCCACACTTTTGTAATGGGATCTGGGAAGCTGAGCAGCTGTATTTTTTTAAAAAAAGTTCTTATGATAATAATAATAATAAAAAAAAACTTGCTCAGAGATGCATGTAAAATTTAAATGTACTTTATTTCTGCTACTCTAATAGCCAAACCTTCAGCTGCTTTTCTTGAGATCTGGATCCAAACACCCTGGCTGTACCTGTGTGCTGTAGAACTGGTAGCTGTAACTATTCAGTTTCACATCTTGTCTGCTTATTGCACCAAAACAAATGCCGTAGATCTGACGTTTTGTTTGCTTTTGTTAGCATGAAACCTGGAATTCAACCAGTTTTCAAAAGTTCATATATTTCAGTGTTGTTTCCCTACTTCATAATCTTAAGTAGTATCGTATGCATGGTTTTGTTTCCTTATTAGCTAAGTGAGCTATTTACTCTGAAGTGACAAGGCAACTGAAATTCCTAAACATTAAGCTTCCTTCTCTAAAAGGGAAAAGCCCAGAACAACTTAGGATGGATATAGTTTTGCAAGGAATAGCTTGTTCTCACTTTGTGCTATTCTGTCTAATCCACATAGAAGGACCACAAAAAGTGAATTAACAGTGGTCCAGCTTTATGTATGCTTTTATTTTTTGAATGACTGCTTAAAGCAGCTGCTTTCAAACTTTATTATGAAGTTTGTAAATATCACTGAAGTGCTTTGGATTGATTATGAAAGCATTATTTATACAAGAGCTGCATGAAGGGGGTTAGAGCAGCAGCTGGGCCCTCCTGGAAGGTCCAGCCAGCTGTGGAGGTCAGGATTGGTAACAGGTGCTGCTCTGACCATTCTCCTGTGGAGAGGAGTAAGTTATCTGAGCAGGAACTTGAATGCTGAAGTCCAGCTACTTCATAGAAATTGTCCAACTCCAGGTGCTTACCCAAAATGTTTCGAGACAGTAAGGCAGCAGGTGTCCTGCAGCAGCAGAGAATGCTGCTAAGAGGGGGCAGGAGCTACCTTAAGCACCAGCAGTATGAATACTTAATGGTACATAGGCACCTGGGAAAGCAGCATGCCTTCAGGTTTGTGCTGGTGACTGTTTTGAAGTCTTTTCCCCTTCCAGCATAGTTGCTTGCTGAGTAGCCATTATCACATGGGTGTCAGGAGGACGTGCCCACACTCGTATGCTAGATGCAAGGCATCCACTTTCATGAAGAGGCAACAAGCACAGATGAAGGTCTTTCCCTTGCTGATGGAAACAGACAGTCTGAAATGTATTCTAAGTAACTTCTTCAGCATTACATCCTTCAGCAGGATGTCTTTCTCAGATTCAGCTGCACATTACCACATTCAGTGTATTTATATACCTGTACCAGTAGCAGCATCCTTGGGATACTTAAAGTAATGGCTTTCAGAAGAAATGCAAGAGCCTGCTCAGAGATGCTCTTACTTCCTCCCTGAATCAGCACCACTTACAAAATGTGCAACTCTATGCTAGTCAAAAAATTAAATGATATAGGAAAGTAAATTACGCTTATAAAGAGTGCCACTGATTTTGCTTTCACTGTAAGCTTGCTGTAATTAAAATAACTCCCTATTATTCCATCCATCCTTTTATTCAGCTCTGATGCATCAGCTGAGTGCAGCATCTGTCACTGATAAATAAATAAAAGGTAACTGACAAATTACAGTTCAGAAAACTATGAGACTGATTGGAAGGCAAGTTGTACAGGCACAGCCCATGAACACACTAAATTGACAAAGGCAGCCACAGCATGACCATCATTTCCATGTTGACTCAAAGGGAACAGGAGACAGTTAGGAAGGCCTCTTCAACAAAGATTCCATGATTGCACTGAGGACACTCAAGCCAACAATCCTTTACCTAAACAATCCAGAAATTCTAACAGATGCTTTTCGCTTCTTTTTTTTTTGTTTGACTCCTGGTAAGGCAAGAAATTCAAGAAACAAAATTTTACTTTCACATTTGACTGATGGAATGCCCTAAGGTACTAAACTTTCCCATGCTTTTGCTGGTTACATCAAGGAGTTCAGTTTTTCTAGAAAGCTGGAAAGCAGATTACAGATTAGCCAAGAGAAATTTGGGGCTGAAATGAGGATTGTAAGATTGTAACGCTGCACGGCCATGCTCATAATTCCATTGGAGGAGCTGACTAGCGAGACTGTATCATCATCATCTAGAACCCCCTCTCAATCTGTACGTGGTTCAGTTTCAAATGAAATGGGACTACCGCATCACTTTACCATCCTTTCTAATAAATTCCATGTTTAATGTGATAAGCCTTCCAAAGAACTTGCTAATTTATTGCTTTCTGTAGAATTTAAATGGATGTAAATAACTAATCTTGGACACAGTATTCTCGCACATTTTTTAATAAAGTGCTCAAGAGCAAGTTAAGCACTGTAATAAAATTCCCCTTTTTTTAAACTAGCAATGAGTAGCCTTTTTTTTCCCCCTCTGCAGAAGATCAGAACTAATTACATATAAGCACAAAGCAACGGTGTAAAAATGGACATTTATTACAACTAAACCAATGGGACAGTACGACAAAGGTCAAACAGTTTATTTGTCACAATCACAACAAAGCTTAACCCAGCCAAGCACATACAAGTGACAGTGTAAACTTCAAAAATGTTTAATACATAGGAAATCGCTTCAGGTTTGACTTAAGGTAATTTCACAACTTCAGTCTCACACCAAGGGTCATTCTAACACCATTTGAACCTCATCTATCCCTGCTCTTGTGCACCGGGAAAATACTAACGACTGCTTTTGTGTGCCTTCCATTAAACATGAGTAATCTGGTATATTTAAATCCCAGAAATGGCTTAACTGGACAAATTTGCACACTGCAGATTCTTAGGCTCCATTGTGGCACAGCCACTGAAGCTGCAGC